TCAGTCCCAAGACCAATTTAAGATGAAATTGGACACATTCCATCATGACGGTAAAAGGAGAGGAAACCTGATTTGATAGAGGTACTCAGGAAACAAGGCCTGGCAGTTTCATTTGACCAAATTTCAACATGAGCCCACAGTACAGCACACCTCTGGTGAGCAACAGGAGGTAAGAACAAAAGCCTTATAACAGGAAGGATGTATCTATATTCAAAGAATAATGCCTCTGGAATCTGGTGTGGTAACATCAATCACAGCTAGAATATCATGTTCTATTCTAGGTGTCACATTTTAAGCAGACTGGCCAAGTATTACAGTGTTTGGAAGAGTCAGAACAGGATGATGATGACCTTGAAAATACTTCTCAAGAGAAGTGCATAAAAGAATTAGGAAACTTAACTCTGAAGATGAATTTAGAAATGTAAATGATAGCTCTTTTCAAATTCTTGAATAATGTGGGAGAAAGAACAGGTTGCAGAAGCCAAAGCTTAGAAAAATGATTGGAAAATATAAGGAAGTTTTAGTTCGGTATGAGGAAGCCATTTATAATAACTGTTGTTGATTACAAATACATTCTGCTGCTGTTAATGAGTACTCAAACAAAGCCTGTGGCTGCCAGGAGTGTTCCAAAGGGGATTCCTCCTTTGAATAGACATTTATACCAGATCAAATTTGAGGTCTCCTCCAAAGTTTAAGATGCAACATATAATGATCATCAGAAAAACATCACTCAGGTGAAAGAAACAGTTACATGCTGGATCTTAGAAATGGCATTTAGATAGTTGCAGCTCCCTCATACTGCAGAGATGTAGTTCAAGCATGATCATTTAAGCATTGCTTTACTCCTCATCTATGATCAGCCAGAGCTTATCTAGAGGTTATTATCAGTCTTCTTATGGGTAATCTGGTAACTGAGGACGGAAGGTTAAGTCTTATATGACCATAATAAAGCCAAAAACTCTAATAGAATGAATAAAGGTTCATTTTCTTCCTTTATAGAATTTGCAGTTGCACTCTGCCCATTCTACCCACCATCTTCATCATATATACACAGAGGCAAAAATGTAACTCAAATACTCAGTTTAATTTGCATGCACTCCATCATATTATGATCTCTTCAAATCACTGTTTCTATCCCCTGTCCTCCATAGTCCTTGACTCATAGTGACTAGTCCATAAATATTTGTTAAATAAACATACCCTCTATAAAATTACCTTTTGCTATAAAGAAGCACTTTTCGACAATAACTGCAAAATATCTCATAAATGAATCTAAAACTACATAGATAAATTCTTTTTACATCTTCCACAAGAAGGGCCCTTTTCCCTAGTTTACTGAAAGAGTTCATATAAGGTAGATGAAAGAAATGTGCTTTTTGTAAAAGAAAAAGTGGCGGATGGGGTATGTTTCTAAAGATTCCTCCACTTCTCTCTGTGATTATGTTTTATAAACCTAGGAATTTCTTAATCTAGAATGTGTGGTTCCCTAGAAGATCTATGAAAGGGGAAGAGAGAGCCGATGTCCATGATTGCCCTGAAATTATATTGAAATTTTTATGTACACAGATATATGCATTTCTTTTAAGGAGAGGACCCTAGTATTGGTACATCCAATCAGAAAAATTTGACAACTACGGTCTTAAACAATTTGTTTTCAAATTTTTGGTTTTGGATTCAATTCGAAGATTATAAAGTGTTCATTATCTATCTAGGCACTGTGTTTGGCCTGAGGATACAAAAATGACTAACAACATTGAACGCAAGTTACTCACAATGTAGTGAGGAAGGCAAATAAGTTCATAATACATTGAGATAAAGTATAAGATAAAGGTATGTATATAAAAAGCTTTTACAACAAATGAGCAAAACAAACAGACTCATGGACAGGGACAATAGTTTAGTGGTTTCCAGAGGGAAGGGGTGGGAAGGTAGATAAGGATAAAGTGAGTCAAATATATGGTGATGGAAGGAAATTTAACTTTGGTAGTGAACACACAATACAATATACATATGATGTATTATTGAATTGTACACTTGAAACCTAATTGTACTAACCAATGTCATCCCAATAAATCCTTTTTTAAAAAAGCTTTTACGTTTTTCCCCACACTGGCTGACCATTGTACAACTAAACCTTTGTGCCAGAAAATTTTATGGTTACCATGCCACCTGCCACCATAGTCTTATTTCTAACAAAATGGATAATTTTTTTCTTTTCAGCATGTCAACAGTGGGAATAAATAGTGTTCTTACATCTTCATTATATCCAGGAGTTTCTTAGACCCTATGGTTAAAGGACACACAAGCGAGAGATGAAAATATTCACTCTGACCATTTTTATGCATTATGATCAAGTGGTTATAAACTTCTAGCCATTATAGAATGATGTGGGACTCCTCTTGACCTGGTAAGTAAGGTATTGGTACATCCTATAAATCTAGAAAACAGGCTGTTATGATGACCATTGAGCTATTTTGAGAATTAGTCAGGATTCCTTTTTCCCCCATCGGTGTTAATAATTTTCAATTACTATGAATAAAAACTGAAAGAAAAGTACCCAACTCTTCAATCCCTTACTATTATTTGTAACTTCCTTATATAGCAACTACTTAAGCAGATCACTGAAAGACGAGAAAACTTTATAGAGTTCCAGGGCTCATGACAAGGTCTGAAACTGTACTTTAAACAAATGAACAGTAATTTATTTCATCAATCTTCTGTTGATGAAGTTTTTTGAACATTATCAACAATGCTGCCAAGATTATTTTTGTAAATATGTTGTTTTCCACATCTTCGGTTTATCTGTTAAATAATTTTTTTTTGCCTGTTAATTCTTAAAAGTGTTAATTCCTGGTTTAAAGGATAGAAGCATTTTAAATGTTCACAGATATTGTCAAATTAAAGTCATGTTTCTTAATACTGTTTACTACATTGTTTGAACATCGAGGCCGTCACTAAAGATAAATGAGAAAAGTGATGATTAGCAAACAAAGCAAAAAATCTGGCGTTATATCATTTATATTGCTTTCTTTCTCCATTGGGTGATGAGGACTAAAGGTTATTTCTT